CAGGACTTTGTGTTTGCATGTATGCTCTAAGTAGGTGTGAGTAATTGCCAATGTTATATATATGAGCGAGCAAGGCCTCGCTACAGGCTTCTTATCAGTAAAGAGCGCTACTACAAGCAGGCTTAATCATTAACAGGTGCTAGGAGACCAGATCAGTTACTTAGAAACCTGTAGCCTGCAGGCTTTGAATGTATTACAAATCAGAAGGAATGATGATTTTTAAATGAATTATGAAGTGGTGATTATAAGTAAGTGAAAACTTACAATTAAAGTTGTACTGATTAGAGTTAAGGAATAATCATTGATGTAGAATGTTAAACCATGGGATGGCTGCACGAACAAGAAATGGACAGTGTGTTCCAAGAACATGTTGAACAATAAACCTGTAGAAAGAACAGGGCGGTGGAGGTTGTGACAGAGAGTTCCATAGAAGGACAAACAACTTCAACAATTCCAGGAAACATCTTTAATTCCAGGAAACAAGATGTTTCCTAGAATTGACCGTTCCGAGAACTTAGTCGGATGACAGTTAAGGGACCAATCAGAGAGCGACAGCAGTTATGCTCATAAGAGGCAATGCCTTGGAACAGGTTCAGACTCATCTGAACCGGTTTTAGGGCTTGAGCCCAGCTATAAAAACACTCCGCAGACAGGTTTATGCTGAATAGATCGGGGAGCTGTAGGGACAAGGACAGTATTGGATCTGCTCTTGAAGCTACTGAAAAGATTTGGACAACCCCAAAAGAACTCCTTTTCGTCTAGATAGGAACATTTCTTTTTATTTCAGCCCGAGTTGATAGCAAGACCAGATTTTTTCAAATTAGGACTGCTTTTTGGAAGAAGGGCACAATTTTCCAGGGATGTGGAAAGGAGACTTGACTTGCCTTTAACCAAAGATTCCGTCAGACAAAGTTATGGTAAGAGACACCCTGATTTACCATTCCTTATAAATTTTGAACAAAATAATAGCAACAATTTAAAAAAGTTAAATCTGGTCCTTTAGACATTCAAAAAACAAAGCAAAACAACAACAAAAAAATGTAGAAACGTTTCATCTTTCATCCAAAAGACTTCCTCAGTCTGAGGTGCTGTATTCAGTTCATTCTTATAAATAGCACCTTCTCAGTGTGGATCAACCAGTTTTGCTGCTGACAACCAAAACCAGCTGCTCACATGATCAAGAAGGACCATCAGCCTAACGATGGATCATTAGCACCCTGATGGCTGTTTACTACTCACAGAGGGCTGAGTGATACTAGCAATAACAGCATTGTAAGAGGGGGACAGTTGAACACGGAGGCCTCCACCCCTGTTTAATGATGGACAATTTATTTTCACAAAAATGGCCTCCTTTACTCCTCTCTCAAACCATTGTTCCTCTCTATCCAGGATGTGAACATCTTCATCCCTGAACGAGTGACCGCTGGCCTGGATATGAGTGTAGACTGCAGAGTCCTGGCCTGATATTGTTGCTCTTCTGTGCTGGGCCATCCTTTTGGCCAGAAAATAAATGTCTCAGTTTCTCTGATACTCCCTCAACATACAGAATGACCACTGGTCTGGGTCTGGGTTCCTCCTTTTCACCTGATGGCTGACTGGAGTCTTGTTTGGGTTTATTCTCTGCTTTCAGGAGAAACTGAGACATTTATGTCCTAAACACAACGTCCCAGTGGCTTTTAAACCCCAAAATACATTATGGCAAAGACTGGTTCATCCCAAAGATCCAGTCCCCCGGCACAAACAGTAATATTGTGTATTCTTTTCAGTGTCAGGAGGGCTGTGATCAGTCTTACATCGGGGAAACTAAACAGCCACTGGCCAAAAGGATGGCCCAGCACATAAGAGCAACAACATCAGGGCAGGACTCTGCGGTGCTAATGATCCATCGTTAGGCTGATGGTCCTTCTTGATCATGTGAGCAGCTGGTTTTGGTTGTCAGCAGCAAAACTGGTTGATCCACTCTGAGAAGGTGCTATTTATAAGACTGAACTGAATTGAGGAAGTCTTTCAGATGAAATACGAAACGCTTCTACATTTTTTGTTGTTGTTTTGCTTTGTTTTGTTTTTTGAATGTCCAGAGGACCAGATTTAACTTTTTTAGATTTTTCTACCTGGATTATTGAGCAAGCATCAGGATAATAGCAACAGTTCTACCGACAAGTAAGGAAATCAGATTAATATTATCAACATCCTTGGTCCTCTGATTCATGAAAGCCATCCAATGAAATATGTTCTAATGAGATCAATAACAACAGTGGAAAATATTTATCTTATGATGGTAGGGGAGTTTAGGAGTTCTTAGGGGTTGAGCACTCTCTAGGGCTCTAGGGCGTGGCTGAGGCCAAGAGGAAGGGAAGGCTCAATGGCTCATAAGAGCCTCAAGGACTCATAACTCCCTATCTCAGCTCATCGGAGCAAGGAAATCAAAACTTAAGTGGGCTTCCTATCCTTTGGACACCAAAATCAATCAACAAGATCCTCCCTCAAGCAATGTATGGACTCTCTATTACTGATTTTATTATATAATCAAATGTAATCATTTTTGGATTGTGCATAACGCTGTTCCCCTTGTAAATCGTTTAATAAAGCAAAGCATAAAATGTAAAATTCTGGGCTATCATTTCATCACTTCGTATTCATGGATCTTAAAAGCTTGGTTCAATTCTAACAAAATTGGGAGGTTTTTAAAGGATTTCTCAGCTGTGATTGTGATGATCCCTAGATTCTAAAAAGACCCAGATCAGTAAGAATAGCCATTCTACAACGAAGGTGGGCGGCCGTTAATGTGAGTTTCCCTGTGGACGACGATCCCACCCCGGCTGCTAGGTTGGGCGAGTCACGAGGTGAGATAAGGGTGTGGACCACAGATGGATGTCATTAACAAATCTGGGTGAGTCACCTTCAACACAGCCTAAGAAGAACTAGAATGAAGTAACTCTGGGTAATACCCAAGCATAGGTTTAGTTCATTATACCCCTTAGAGGAGAGGCTGCAGTGGGGTTTAGCCATATCTCAGGTGGTAGCTCCGCTGGGTAGATCGACCTCAGATTTGCAGAGTTCGATGCGCGCCTCGGGCAGGAAACACAGCCGCGCATGGGCCCAGTGTGATGATTAGATCCTGACTGCAGGACCAGACAGCGCACCACAGGATCTGCACAGCGCCAAGATCGGAGGTGGAAACGTTGACCATCAGCGGGACAGGATGATTCAGAGGTAGCAAGCAGGGTTTTAAGCTTCACCAGGCGGACAGCGCATTTTCCCCACGCAGCACGCCTCAGGTAAACAGGCACGTCCACCAGCAGCTGGGGGGGGGGGGGGGGGT